GAAGTGGACACAGGGAACATGGGAACACAGCTAGAGAAACATAGACATGACAAGATGGGGGAAGCAAAGCAGAACACGAGGCACATGAGATGACGACTACCAAAGTAAACAGGAACACACAAACGCTGAGACACGGACACAGAGATGTGAAGAGACAGAGAGAGCGAGAGACATGACTGGGGAAACAGATAGGCAAATAAACATGGAGACAAGACTGACTTCACAGCGAGACACAGAGGACAAGACACAGATGACACAAAGACAAACCTAATATCAAACAAGACACCTTGAACTAGAAATACAGATAAACTCAAGACTAAGAGACTAAAGTCAAGCTCTGTGTATGCTCTATAAACAAAATTGAATTGAACTGAATTGAATTGAGTTTGACTTTCATATAATCCAATCTTAAAACATGCATGTGTCATGGTGGGTCTTCAACCAAGTTTTGAATTTATTATGGTCTTGTGATTCATTCCTTTGGATTTAAGAGATTTTTAGTCGTGACTTTTGTTTTCTTTAACAACTGCCTTTATTTTTTCTACTTCCTGGCTGTTAAGTTATACGAGTTTCCTTTTGTGTCTAGTTTCCCTGTTTTGTTACCCTTTGTTTCTGCAGTCATGTTCCTGTGTTTGTCTGACATCTGCTTTTAAGTTAATCTGTCTGTGGTCCAGACCCTGTTGCAGGTTCACGTGTCACGTATGGTGTCCTGTTCAGGCAGGGGCATGTGTTCTTCATCTGTTTATTTAACAGCTGACTTTAAAATGACATGTTGGTGGAGCCTTCAGTCCAAATAATGTTCATCTTTGCTGTCAGAGAGATTCCTGAGGGATCATACGGAGCATTTGTTTAGACCTGTATTTAATTTCAACTGAAAATGCAAATACTTTCAGTGTCAGCAGATTTAACAAAGAACATTTAAACTTCTATAACACTTAACACACACATTAATAAAATGTTTTTTTTCTTGTAGCTCAGCTCATTCAAGTAAGATAGATGTAATAAAATGCCTTGTACACAACTAAAACTATAATTGTGTCTCCAGTAAACTGCACAACAGTAGTTAACATAAAAATAAATAATTAATGTACTTTTTTCAGAGACTTATTTAACTGTGGGAGAAACAAAAGTGAGCTATGAAGTATATGAACAAATTAACTGTTACTGACCTCTTGATCTCTCTGTAGGTCTTCTTCCTCTGGTCCGTGATCTTCGTTTCTCACACTCCGGTGAAGTTTTGTGTCATGCTGCTTGCCACGATGTCGGTTTAAAGACCTCCTACTGTACAAAATAGTGACACAGTATTCACAGAGGCTGCAAATTTGTGGACATTAAATCAACTTTTAAAATTTAGCCTCTGTACACTAGAACAGTAGATTTGAAATAAAACAATAAAGGCACAATTTAATTGCAGACTCAGCTGCAACTGAAGGATTTGAACAAAACTTCTGTATTACCTTCAATCATAAATAAAGTCTGAATACTTTGCCGAATACTTTGCAGGCAGTGAGTCTTTTTACTGCATCTGTCTTCAGTTACAATATATTTGTCCAGGGATTCACTTTTATAAAGCCAGGAAACACCATGTAGGATGTGGTTCAATTGGGGTAGACTAACACAATTGCATTCTT